TGCTTGCATGTTTGACTCACCCGAGGCTTCTGGTCTTGCTAGTAAGGGTTGTATAATATCCATCACCGTTTTGAGGCTCCGGCGAAGCTCTTGGTTTTCCAACCGGATGCGCTCATTGTGCTGAACGGCGGCCTGGAGATCAAGGACCGGTTTCTGGGAAGCGAGTTCTCTCACTTGCTGTTCCAGGGCCTCGATATGGGTTTTGGTGCGCTCACGAATGGCGCGTTGTGCTTGGCGGTCATTGGCACGTTTCTTCGCCAATTGATCGGGGGTGAGGTTGGCGACACCTCGCGACGAGGTGCTGTTGAGTTTGCGCTTCCGTCCGGCGGTAGTCAATCCATTATTGTGGTCAGGGATATCTGGGATGAGGGAATCGGGATCCAACGAGGCTGAGCGCGACGGCACCGGTGATTCCTCGGGGTTGGCGCTGGTGGCTGGTAGTGAGCAGCCGTCAATCACCGGCCCAACCGGCGATGGCGCCGCATAGTTGATGTCGTCCGGGACGCGGCTGGCCATGGCCTCACGCACGGGTTAGAGATTGATGGCAGCCATTCAAGAATGGAAGTAAGAGAGAGCAGGGGGGGTCGGGGTTGAACAAGAGGGAATCAGCATTGGCGTTTTGAGTGGGTCGAGGAATAAGAAGAAGTCGACCCAGTGCGGTGGTTGACTTTTGGGTCGTTCGGGTGACGAATGACAGACTTCCCCCGGACAAGTTCCCCCGAGCCCTCAGAGTGTGTCCCCCTCCCTTTCTCCTTTCTTCTCTCTTAAGTCGTGGCATCATGATCTACACTCAGATCTTATAGCATGGGGGAATATTCCCCGCCCGGAAAAGATATCCTGACTCAACTCCATTGTATGATCCCGAGGGACTGTATTGTGTTCAACTTGTAGAAGATATATGACGGTCATTGTCATGATCATGGAATGTGTATGAAGAAGTCCACCCTCCTTTTTCCTTTCTTCCCTAAGTTTATCGTAACAGAGGCACGATCATGTACAAAAACATCGCGTTCACAAAAAAAATATGAAAAATTATCCAGCAAGAAAAGACTGGTCATGTCGATCGTGTGTACAAGGGTAGTTCACTTTCCAACGCAAGGAATAGACAAGATCACAAAATGCATCCCGTGGGAGGGAAAAGACAGCAAATAGAGATGTAGTAACGAGTGTCGATATTATTGGATCATATGGCCCATTTTCGAGATCTGTAACCAAACGCATTAGCTCCCTTCTCCAAAGTTGCAAGGGGGAAAAAGGGGGGACGAAACTAACCTTAGTTTTCAGATAGCCTTCGATTTCAGAACTCTTAATTCCTCGTTCTCCACCAGTACGCCAAGCCAGAGGAATCATAGGCACCCGTTCTTTCACCAAGACTTCACGATTCAGTCCCTCAATGGCCCGGACCTTGTCAGGGTTATTGGTAAGCAAACGAACACCTTCTGGGTTGACATCTGCTCCGCAACCCAGATCCATCAGCATGGCCGTCGCCAGTCCATAGCTTCGAGCATCCGCCGGGTGTCGGAGCAGCAGGTTCGCTTCGACTGTGTCAGATCCCAGATCCTGAAGATTATATGCCTTCAATTTCTCCCCTAGACCGATTCCTCGACCTTCCTGTCGCAAGTAGATAATAACGCCACCGGCAGAATGCGATCGCAGGGACTGTGCCTCGGAAGGTGCGTCAGAAGCCAAGTCCTCGACCGGGAAGGACATCAACCGCGCAGCTTCATCCAGCTGTTCACCGCAGTCGCATCGGGCTGACCACGCCGTCTCGCCTGTATAGCATTCCGAATGAATTCGTACTAGTGGAGGCTCTACCCTCGTTGAGCCGTCTGCTTGTGATTCATTCTTCTCATCGTCAAACCAGCTACTAACTCGCCCCGGGTGCAATTTGCCCACATATGCGCCTCGGATCATGCGGTCCATCTCAGTTTCTCCGGGATACACGCGATCTAAGCTGCGGCTTCGGATCTTGTTACCGAATACAATGGCCAGGTGCTCTTTATTATCCAGGTCGTTATGATAAAGGTGCAGGAACATTTCGGCCCCGTTGGTTGTTGGAATTCGTGCTCGGACAAGACACTCCACTTGCGGAAGCTGCGAGAGTAGCTTGGGTGCTTTGGCGTGTTCGCCTTGGTGTCGGATACTGGCGGATTGGCTTTCATGGAGGGCTTTGGTTGGATTCGAGCTCAGATTCAATGTTCCGCCGGGAGTTGCAGGTGGAGTGAATGCAGGTGATAAAAGGGAATCTGGGAGTGCTGGGGTTTGTTCGCCTGTCGCGAGACCACTGCCCTGGCTGGCGTCGTCGGGCAGGCCATCGGGGCCGCTGGTCGGAGCGAGGGACTGCGGGGGAAGTTTTGGCGAGGCGTGCGCCGGGAGGTCCGCCATTGCGACGGTCGGTAACGAAATGAAGTAGAGGAGGGATTGCGGTGTGGTGGTGGGATCGGATGCACTGGTTATGGGATTGGGAAAAAGACAAGCATTGAGGTGGAAGTCGGAATTAATCACAGTGGCACCGAGAGTCTCATGGCGTCAATTATGTCTCCCTCGGCACCGGCACCGGCCATGAGGGGAAATTACTAAACACACCACCGGAATTAGACCGGCCGCACCATCGCGAGCTGAGTCAGCTCTATATCCGCAACACGACTTTTATTACCGCTGTTTCAAAGTAAAAAGAGGGTAGATATAACTAAGGCTGTGATTAAACAGCATACTGAATTATTTTAAAGCTACTTTGAGCTATCACCATGGGGTAGATGTTGAGTTATAAAGAGAACCTGAGCCAAGTGACAGATCTTAATTGGGAAGGTGGCCTCCCGAGTTAGCCGTTTGCTGTGGCAATAGCAAACTGTATGCTGTGGGTGGATAAGCCCCCGTTATGGGGACCTGAGTCATCAAATTGTCAATGCTTACTCTAGCAGCTTCCATCACTCAGGTCCGGAACGTCCAGAGTGGATCGCATAGTATGTTAGTCTACCGTACGTGATTTTTAAGTTTGTACTCGTAAAATGAGATGGCAGAGATACCAGTTTGGCTAAAAGAAAACATAAATCGTTTGGTCTATCCGCCTCAAGTGGCAGACCTATTGAACTCCAGAGTAGCGCCTCGCTAAAGGGTATCAAATCAGATCAAGAACAAGATCGTGGGAACATCACCGCCGGCCCTATTTGTTCGGGATGTCCAGGACATAGCGACGGTCAACTTCCATCTCCTTATCGTCCTCCTCGCCCTCAAATTTGAGGCGATAGACGTCTTTCCTCGACCCCATCACTTCTGCCCGATAGAAGGTAGTGGTGTCGGGATACCGGGCGAGAACCTGCTTGCCGACAGTAAATGCAGGCAAAGAGGAGCTCACATGGGGGATGGGGATGAGCGATGATGCGGTAGTCTTATAGACAGCGCCTTGTTCCCCGTTCTCGTTAGGTTCGGGGTCTTGCACGTCGTACCATCTGTCGGAAAGGAATCAGTCATGGAACTAATATTGAGATTTCGGGGGGAATATCATACCGCTTCTTGTGACCGTCACCAGATACGTTCTTGATTATGCATTGTATACCCTCGCCTTCCACTCCCTGCTTGTTCTTGCTGTGCTTGAAGACGACTTGCGCTCCGATGACGAGAAGCCCACTACGCTCAGCGACAGCGCCCTTGGTACCTTCCGAACCACCTTCTTCGATCTTCACCGCGACCGCGTTTCCATCACCGCGACCCTCGCGCGCCTGGGTACTCGAGACACTGGCGCTGCGCGGGACACCGCCTTTGGAACGACTGGACTTGTCCGCACCCGAGGCACTTGGGGAATCAGTCGAGCTCTCCATATCTTGTCTTTTTTTACGAGATTTTGAGAGGGCATTAGATCGGTTGGGAGGGGCCTCTGCCTCGGAGGCCTTGCGAAGCGCTGTGAGTAGTTCCAAGTTCTTGATCACGTCGCATGGCTCGTCCTGCATGATCGATCGTTCGTCCTCGCTGAGTTTCTGGCTCTGGCGCAACCATCTATCCAGTTGGTCATGTTCAGACATTGTGGGTTCTTCATGAATCGAGAATTAGCTAGGTACGCGGGGAGGTTATAGCTCACACGTCATATCTCCAAGTTCGCATCAAGAGATACGCGTGTTTCACCGCGGCAACGCGATGGGGTGTGACTTACTGTTTCCCTCTCGTGTTATCTTGTCCACCAGAGTCTTGATTTGAACAGAAAGGGATGCCTGTTGATCGAACTTCTCCTTGGACTTGTGGATGTCCTGGCATATCCGGGTCCACAGCTCCATCTCCTCGTTGTTACCAAGCCCATTGTCGCGGGGCCGAGGACGATTGCGGGACATCCTTGTGTGGAGGAAGATCGAAAGCTACCAAATCGAGCAGGCTCAAAAGTGGGCACCACAAGAGGTGGGATCTGGGGAATTGACGACTGGAAGCTGGGGGAAGCTGATCGAGGATCGGGCGGTGATAAGCCAAGGCGGTCGGCGATAGACGCGCGCCTAGGGTTGGCGCCAGGGCGGTCGTTCTATACTTCCAGATGGGGGTGATGAAGGTGATTATGATCTAATTTGTGCATGTCTGGGCTGTCAATGATATTATTCTATATTTGCTACGTACTAATATTTATTCATAATTTTTTTTGGGGTAGGCGCCTTGATGGTTGACAGTCTTCGAATGCGGGGTTGGTCAACCATGCTCGCTTGGAGTGCCTGCAGAGAAGTAGTACTAATACTAGTAGTAACAATACCTTTATTGTTTGATTATTCGATGACCAAACCGATCGGGAAATACAATATAATTATATCAACGGAATTACCTCTATGACCATTGGTGACTGCTTCATTTATAGTAATCCCCTTTGGCAGTCGATATGAGGAGCCTTAACGAGTCCTGGTATTTGATACTAGAGTATCAACACTGCCATAGATCTTGATGGCTTGGGACGGAGCATTCCAAGGGTTGAGTGGGGTCCTATTTCAGTGCCGGAAACGTTTCAAAATTGCAGGCACCCGGGGATCCAAATGCAGACCCTGGCGCTGCAATGGGCAGCCTTCACCGGGGAGGGTCTGAGGGGTCTTGGCGTGGAGATTCTGCGTAATAGAAACCCGCTGAGGCGCCCCCCCTCCATTCTCTTCTACAAATATTCTCGAAAATGCAGATTCCTCTACTTCGGCTGCAATGCGGTATGTCTCCTCCCTGAAAACTTACCCGCCAATTCGCTAACCCGTCCCAAAACAGGCGTCAATAGTTACGATTGGGGTAAGTTCGTCTCACTAATGTTGTTTGCCCCGCACTCAACCCCATCATAGGCAAGGTCGGCCAAGAGTCGGCAGCAGCTCGGTATGCCGCCACCACGGCTGCCCCGGATTTCAAGGTCGAAGATGACAAGCCATATGCAGAGGTGAGACTCCGTCGTGGCTCTAGAGCTACCTCAACTCCTGCCGGTAGCTGCTAATCAAAACCTACAGTTGTGGATGGGCACTCATCCCTCTCTACCCTCGAAAGACGTCGAGACCCAGCGCTCCCTCCTCGATCTCGTCCAGGATAACCAGGCTCTCCTATCGACCGAAATCAGCGAGCGATATGGCAGCCGCCTTCCATTCTTGTTCAAGGTGCTCTCCGTCCGCAAGGCTCTGAGCATTCAAGCCCACCCCAACAAGAAGCTGGCCGAGCAGCTCCACGCACGGGATCCTAGAAACTATCCCGGTATGTGGCACGAAGATGGGCCTGCGCCTGTCTGAATTGAAGGCTTTCACAGCACTGACACTGTTCTTCTTAGATGACAACCATAAACCCGAGATGACCATTGCCGTCACGCCGTTTGAAGGACTTTGCGGCTTCCGCCCACTCGCCGAGATCACCCATTTCCTCCAAGCTATCCAGCCCCTCCGTACACTCGTTGGCACCCAAGCTGCCAGCGACTTTGAACAGGCCGTCAAGGGCAACGAGGACTCGGAAGATTCGTCGGTTATTCAGAAGAATAAGGATGCCCTGCGATCTTTGTTCACCATCCTGATGGAATCTGCCCCCCCAAAAGGTCGAGACCGCCTGCAAGGAACTTGTTGCACTCGCGAAGAGCTCCCCGGACAGCTTCGGTACCCTTCCCAGTGAGGTCGAGACCAACCCGACCAACCCAGGCGAGCTGGCCGAGATCATTGGCCGACTTGATCAGCAGTTCCCCAACGACATTGGATCATTTGTTTTCTTCTTCCTTAACTTCGTTAAGCTCGAGCCCGGCGAGGCCATGTTCCTCAAGGCCGACGACATTCACGCTTACGTTTCGGGAGATATTATCGAGTGCATGGCTTCTTCCGACAATGTTGTTCGCGCTGGCTTCACCCCCAAGTTCAAGGACGTCGATACTCTGACCAAGATGTTGACCTACTCGTACGCCCCTATTGAGGAGCAGAAGCTCCGACCAACAGACTACCCATATACTATCCTGAATGCGACAGCGTACTCGAGTGCCTCCGAGTCTATGCTTTACGACCCCCCGATCGAGGAGTTCAGTGTTGTCAAGACCGACTTGAAGCGTACTGGCGCCAAGGCGACCTTTGACCCCATCGAGGGCCCCAGTGTCATCATCTGCACTCGTGGCAACGGAACTATTACCGTCGGAAGTAAGACTGAGGAGGTGCGTGAGGGCTATGTTTTCTTCGTTGGCGCCACTGCTGAGTGTATCATCCAAAACACTGGCAGTGGGGAGGGCGAGGATGATGTCTTTACGACATTCAAGGCGTTCTGCGAACTGGACGGTAAGGAGGACTTGACCAATGGCAACTAGGTCCTCGATTCTAATCTGGATATGTTACAATAGAGCGTGCTGCACGTAGTGCGAATCTGTGAATCTGTGACATACCACTCTGTCCAAAAGCCACTAAAGCGATGAAATTGCATGAATCTATGATGGGGATATTACTAGGCCACCCTCCTCCAACATTTCCATGTACTTTTCCAAATAAATGACTACTTGATGCCCAAATCAACAAAATCAGCACTAGTATAAAGTTCAAGCTCGGAATCCAGGCGGCCCCACACGGGCCAGCCGAGGCTAGAATCGAAGGGGTTCAGCCTGTCAAAGCGGGGATGCTTGCACACGTCTGGGGTTTCCTCAGCTCCAGATCACTTCCATTCAGCATATTACCGATCCAAGCCCCCCCCTCTCTCAGATAATAATCAGTCACATTCCTAACATTCCGAATCCTCCATATTTCCCCTTTAACTTGAATCTGAGCCATGTCGGACACCAAGAGGGACCCCATGGTACCCGAGCTGGGCCTCTGGGAACGAGCTGATGTTCAGCTTGGTAAGGTCACCATACTCGCAAATGTTCTTTATGCTGCCATCACTGGCGTATTCCGGGGCAAGAGTAGTCCGAAGTTCTACTCGAGTCATCTACTGGCCACCGCGATTCGGACAATGGTCGACCGGCTCTCAGTTCGCCAGAGCCAGTACGTTCATTTCTATCATCGGCTCCTGTTATCAGAGATAAAAAATGCGCTGGAGATATGAATCAGAGATATCCCATGGGAGAAAACTGACAATCTTCACAATATATAGATACATGAATGCCCCGACACCAGCAACATACAAGGCCGTGATGGAGAAACGAGGCCTACAGCCTGAGATTGTTCCTCTACCCCATGACACCGAGGGATACTGGCTAGGAAACAAAGACGCAAATAATGTCTTGGTCTTTTTTCATGGTATGTACAACTCCATCTCATCTCCAAGTCCCATGTATCTGGGACGTGTAACCAAGCCAGGATATATCCCTTGCACAACCCGGAAGCTAATCCAAACCCTTCAACCACACGTAGGAGGCGGTTTCACGCTGGCCGCCACACCGGCGCATTTTGAATTCTGGCTGGATCTATTGAAGGTTGCCAATGAGAACGGTCATGATATTGCTGTCTTCTTCCCTCGATACACACAGAGCCCATATGGTACTTACCCAACCCAACTGCGTCAAGCAACCGGGGCCTTGCGTTACATCCTCAATGAGACCGGTCGATCCCCCGCCAACGTTGTCGTGGGCGGCGATTCCGCAGGAGGTAATCTGGCTATGGCTGTTCTACTGCATCTTTCTCACCCGCACCCGGAAATCGATCCCATCTCACTATCTACTCCGCTGGCCGGTGTGTTTGGCCTCGCGCCCTGGGTTAACTTCACTACCGACTGGCCTTCCTTCAAAGACAATGCGTACAAGGACCTCATCACTGAGCGGGCACTGAGCGAATGGTCTGAGTCTTACAATCCTGGAAAGGAAAATGATGCTTGGAGTGAGCCTGACCGGGCCCCTGCTGAATGGTGGGCGGATGCGAAGACAGAGCGCATCTTACTTCTTGCAGGATCGGATGAGCTTTTGCTATCCCCTATCGAGTCCTTTGCGAAGAAGGTTAAGGTATGTTCAAGTGTCTTTCTTCATCCTTCCGAGGATAGACTAATGATTGCTTGCTTTTAGTCTGTCTTCCCAAACACTACTTATATTGTTGGTAGCGATGAGGCTCACGACATTATATTTTATGGTAACCCTGGACCTGAGGGGGGTACAAACTGGCAACGAGCTCCGGCAGTGGCTTTTGTCTCGTCTGTAGACGTGGTGAACTACATGTTCAAGTTGTTTTAGCCCTCTCAAATATTCCTATCAATGCGAAGCTACGGATATGAGTGAGACTGTAATTAGTTTGATATTGGACTTTCATGCTGGGGTTTGATGATTGTTGCGATGCTGTAGCATGTAGAGGGGATGCGAAGTCATCCTCATCTATACGACATCATACGAACAAAATTCAGACATACGCAGGTGAAAGCGAGTCCTATTTCAGAGGTCCAGCAAGATCAGACCAAATAACTATTCCTATGAAGCGTATATGGACGTTGTCTATTGAAAAGTCTCGATAACGCACTGATAAGATAAAAAGGACGATTCGAACAATAGGATTGCACGTTGGTAGTGGTCGTGTCAACTCATGAAAAACAAAAGAAAGAGCAGGATATCATGAACCCCGGCTGTAAATAACTGGCTTCACAAAAATATTAAAGCAAACTTTCCCCCAACATTTTCTCTCCTCCATAAACAATCCACTCACCGCCTCAAGACGACACCTTCGGCGAGTACTTGGACGCGGCAGTGTCAAAGAGAGCGCTCTTCTCCTGGATGTCGGCGAGGAGGGCGTGCGAGGGCTCAGTCTGCTGCAGGAGGCTGTAATTATTTTTGTTAGCTACGAGGCCTGTTTATTGGTGAGGGAGGGCGCTCGAGGGCGCTTTTCCCACGGGATGTACATACGATTCCAGATCCGCGGAGGGCTTTCCGGCCAACACGTTCAGGACAATTGTGTTGGCAATCAGCTCAGCGTCGGTGGGGTATTTTTCCAAGGCAGCAGTGAGAGCGGCTTCGGCTTCGGGGAGACGGCCTAGGTGAAGCTCTGCGACGGCCTGGCCGACAATGGACAAGGGGGCGGAGGTGCTAGGGCCGAAGGCGAGCTCTTCATAGACGTAGAAGGCAGACTGGTACTTATCTCCTCCCTGGAGACAAAAGATAGTGTGTTAGCAAACGTTTCGCAGATGATGCTGAAATGATCGAATACGTACAACGCGCAGACCAACCCATGACTCGGCGATGTTGACAAGCAGCGAGTCCTGAGCCCATCGCTTGGCGGCCTGGACTTCCTTGAGCGCAAGGTCGGAGCGGTTCTGTTGGAGGTGGATCTGAACGATCAGGGAAACACTAGAGGAGAATAGAATTGTCAGAGTCTTGATTGTTTGAGTTCGATTGCTCTATGGCGAAACACTCACGCCTCGAGGTTACCCTGGTGCTTGGAGAGCACAGTGATCGCCTCCTCGTTATGTCCTTGTGCCTGCAGCACGGTTGCAGCAAGCACTTGCACGGTTGCATTGTCGGGGTAGTTCTCTGCGAGATCCTGGGCCAACTGCAGAGCAGCGTCGGTCTTGCCCGCCACTTGTTGGGCAAGGGCCTTGGTGGCGGCCAGGTCGGGGGTATCCTCTTCGCTGGCAACGGCGGCCAGGACCTCGCCGCTCTGGCCAAGGGCAATTTGGGAACGGAGCTTGAGCACGCGAGCAGGGAGCTGGTTCTCGGGGGAGAAGGCGGCGGTCTCGAAGTCGATTACGTTCTGGTATTGGCCGGAGTGGAAGGCATTGTGGATGTTGAGGAGCTCTGGAAGGGGGATGAGCAGGTTGCATGGGACTGTTAGATATTTTGGATATGCTTACCGCCCTCTGCTGAGAAAGGATCCATGTTGAAGTGACTGGGGTTGGAGAAGGGGGGGTAGATGTGTTGATTGATGTTTCTGGCCGCAATTGACTGCTGTCCTAATCGCGGAGCTGGCAACTCTCCCGAGGGAAAGTGGGCCGACCGCCTTGTACAGGTGTGAACGGGGAAATCATCCATTTGGTTAGCAATGTATATGTTAAAATACATAAATTCGAGCGAATATAGCTCTCTTTGGTTTTCTGAATCATTTTTGATTTTCATCTTCCATTCAAATTATGGTGTGTTCTTGTTATGCGCAATTGGCAGATGCAGGGGTACCAGCTTGACTGATCTGTAGTGAAGCATCACCTACCAAAGGACCGAAGATTGCCTTGAAAGTGCTTTGTGTTACAGAATAATTGTATGATAGAGTTTTTCTGCATATAATGGAACCGAGAGCATGGTATGTATGTTGTCGCTCTTCCACGCCTCCAGCGTCTATCTCCAACAGTACCTCCACCACCTCCAACACCTCCACGGCTACACTTTATAAGCTACGTCACCAAGGCGAACTTCTTCACTGCGTGATTTTTATTTTCAATTTTAATTTTTTTTTTCACGAAGGACAAATCCAAGTTGAGTCTCAGATTTAAAAAGACTGAATATGGCTACCTCTATAACAATCATCTTTTCACCATATCATGTTGGTTTACGCGATCATCGCGTCGGCAATGGCCCGCACCGCATCCGCTCTCTAGGCGTCACCGACGAGCTCGAAAAAATGGGCGTTCGGATTCATATCACCGAGATCGAGCCAGTGGACAACTATGAGGGCGAAATTGGAAGAAGCTTCGAAGTTATGCGACGTATCTCGAAGGCCGTCACTGCCGCCGTGTCAAACAACAGCTTCCCGCTCATTCTATCCGGAAACTGCATGGCCAGTGCCGCTGTAGCTTGCGGCCTGGGGATCAAAGATCTTGCATTTATATACTTTGATGCTCATGATGATCTTGACTCGCCAGAAGTCAACGAAAACGGCTATTTCGACGCTATGGGTCTTTCTATGCTTCGAGGAGAAAGCTGGAATACGTTAATGAAGACTGTTCCGGGCTATGAGCCGTTTGCTTACGATCGTTTTCTATATTGCGGCCTACGCGACCAGTCTGAGGTCCAGAGGCAGCGCGTTATTGATGCCGGGATGCATTCGGTATGGGGCAAAATTGAACGCAAAGTCGACTTTGCGAAAGAACTTGAAGCCCAGCTTGACAAATTCTCTTACAACCAAGCGCTGGTTCACCTTGACCTCGATGTCTTGGATGAATCATATGGTAAAGTGAATGACTTTCCATCGCCAGGAGGATTATTTGAAGACGAGTTGGTGGCTTGTATGGGAATGCTACCCAATAAAGCTGTTCCAAAGTCACTGACTGTTTGTTCGTTTGATCCTAATTCAGGAGACGGCGATAAGATTGCTCATATTGCCATCCGTGCGATAAAGACCTTTTTCCAGTCTCTTATTGAAGCAGATGCCTTAGAAACAAAGTCTTAGAGCTCGCAATATGTCGTGTATCTTTCTTTCATCCTTTAGATAACGTACAAATCTACTCAAACTTGTTCAGGTTTACGGAGCTATGGTGGGAGATGTCCCATTGGTTCTTTTGTGTGATAAAAGGTCCATTTCATTGTTTGAGTACATAAGGAGCTCTTCGAGTTCCGATACATCTAGGACCCCAGCCACGTATATGAGGAAAATCAACAGGAATATTTGATTGGAACACATTCGACAAAGGTAAAAATTCAGACAAAAGAGATGGTATCAATCTGGGAACATGAGACAGATAAATAAATGCCAGGAATTACGATTATCAACCTGGTGGCATGAAAAGAATACATAAACTTTGGAATAGAGATATTGTCAATCTGGTGGTATGAAAAGGGCACAGAAGTGTAGATGGTATCAATCTGCCTAGGTGGTAATATAACAGGAATACAGATGACAAAATATAGTCCTATACTTGGACTTTGCCTCAACGTCTGAACATTTCCTTCAATTTCTTACATGCCGCCGTACGGTGAGATACCACTTGTCGCACCTTACCCGCGATGAGCTTTCCAATATTCAGTTCCTCAGTAGAGGCTGTGAAGGAAGACGCGGATACGGTGGAAGACAAGGTCATAGAAAGCACCTCGATGTCTTCGTATGGCGAGTACATGTAGTCATCTTCGGCAAATGTCGCACAGGCAGTCTGTTTCCGTGCTTTTTTGGGAGCACCTGCTTGGCAAATTTGATTTCGCAAATCAAACAGAGAGCAAGTTGCTGGCTTCTGTTGAGGGAAGGGAGGGACAGCCTCAAGTTGGATATCACTGTCGATGGAGGTGCAGACAGTGGATGAAGTGACCGATGCGACATCACTCTGATTGTTTTCGGTGATGTCGGTATCGGTGTTGTTGTTGTTGTCCTCGGATTTGCGAATGGAAGATTCTGAAGTCTCCCGTGCCCACTTTGAGATGACAGCCTTGTGGTCTGTCGAGGGGAGGGTGGCGAGAGCTCGGGGGTTTAGTTCCCAAGAGCAAGAAGAGGATTGGCGAGGTCCTGGTGCGAGGATAGCATCAGTGTTTACCTCGATGGTTCTATGTATCATGTTAGAGAATAGATGAAGCCAAGAGAGTATAAAGATATTCTACTTACCGTGGATCGTAGAATGTTTTATTTTTCGACATGGCGTCGAGCCAGTTGAAGTCCTGGGACTGTTCGTAGAATCGAGCGTTGGAAGTCATCTTGGGTATAGGTATTTCGCAAGATGGGAGGTTGAAGGGGGAGGTGGATGAGGCAAAAGAGAGCAGCATGGGAAAGAACGAGTGGAAAAGACTTAAATAGAGATCAATAGAATCGTCATTCGGCGCCCATTTAGTGATCATCTTTGAGGCCAAACGGGCTTAGTAGCTATAGATGCCAGGCCGATCATCGATTTGGATACTTCTTTCCATTTTGGGAAATACACAGAGTTCAATCAGGACCGTGGTAAGCATCGAATCTCTGTGACTCGAAAAGGTCAAGTACGACCATGTCCGCTTAATAGATGACCTTTCCATGGGAATAGGAGCAAATCCACGGATTTCCTCTTTCTTTTCAACTTCGGACTATATCTAGACCTCCGACGACAATTGTAGAATTGGTATTTAGACCATGACGTCATAATACAGAAGGCGAACATAGCATCACTTCAGGATATCAAAAAGGTGTTGCAGTAAGAGTTGACTATGAAAGAGGGGCCTCAACTAGTCTACTAGATAAATTGTAGGTGTCGCAGAGACATGCAAACCCTAAATTCTGCCCGGACGATCCCAACTTGGCCATAGCGCCGGATTGTTGGAACCCCCCGCCCCTCGCGTAGCTGACACTTCGTATCCGCTTCATATCTCTCCATCGATATCAGTATCAGTACTCCCACGACATGGCTGACGCTAAGGAGACAACCGCTATACCAGTACCACCGCCTGTAAATGATGGGGAACCCGGAACGTTGGCAACGCCTCCGGTCCACGACGATGCCAAGGATACAGAAACCAACAGCAGTGGTCCACAAGCAACCGAGGAGCTTCCAACCTCTGAGACCTGTCGGAAGATCGAGGACTACCAGGTGCTGGATCGCGAGGGGAAAAAACACTCATTTAAGAGTCTGTACGACGGCCCTAATTCAGCCGACCGCGTGGTGGTGATTTTCATCCGGCATTTCTTTTGCGGTGTAAGTACTTGCTAAAACTTCGTATTTTCGAGTTCTGCAGAAGATTTTGCGACAAGGATTTGGCAGTAGAGTACTGACACTATATTGATCTTTACTAGAGCTGTCAAGAATACCTTATCGCCTTGTCGAAAGCTATTCAACCAGAGGACTTGCTAAAATTGCCTATCAGCACATCGATCGCCATTGTCGGTTGTGGCGATCCGGGCTTGATAGATTTCTACGCCACTCAAACGGGCTGTCAATTCCCAATCTATGCTGATCCCTCGCAAAAGTTGTACAAGGACCTAGGAATGGTCAGTAATCTGGCCATGGGACCACAGCCGGAATACATACGCAAAAGTATGTTACGAATCATCGGTGAATCAATCGTGCAAGGTTTGAAGCAGATTCCAAGCGGTCTGGCACACAAAGGGGGACCAAGCAGTCAGAATGGTGGTGAACTTATTTATGAATCCACCGGAGAGGGACAGCCAAAGCAGATGACTTGGTGTCATAGAATGACAACAACGCGTGACCATATCGAGGTCGACGAGCTTACGAAAGTCCTCGACCCAAGTCAGAAATACTTGCAGAAACCTCGGGAATGATTTTAATCATACTTCGCATTGCTATCTTGCGCCAGTACTGTGAATGTTATACTGTTCCTCGCCACCTACTACTACGAACAAAAACCTTTGAAATTCTTGCTGTATCTATTCAGTATTGATTCCTAATTGATAATACTCAGTCGAATTAGTCATATCTATATTTCTTTGAGCTGGAGCATCCATGAAGTTCTTACGACAAAGAGCCCAATGTTTGCCTCGCATGTTCTTCCCTCGTTGCCAAGCCTCGAGCTAGACATGTTGCAGAGGGAAAAATGCAAACCAACAAAATAGTTTCGTCTTGACTCCAAACAGGCTGAGATGGCGAGTGGTAGCAGCGATCAAGGCACCAGAGAGGAATATCAAATGGGCTTTGTTACTATTTCAAAGAAAGGACACAGCCTTAAAAGGCCTTCGGTAATTCTTTTTATATTAAAGACCCATTCAATGTGACTTGATTGCGACGTAATTTCCTAGATATTGCCTTGCCAGTCCAGGAAATGAGAGGTGGGGTTTCTCGGGGGATTTTATCTGGCCGAGTCCATTCTATAATTTGATATAAAAGACCTAGACGGTCTCGGAAATCCATGCAGGTATCATCCCAAGGTTATTATAGCGTTACGCGAAATCCCTGTCTCTTTGACGTGCGTCGAGACAGATCCTTGCTATTCTTTATATATATCAATCGTTTAATCCTTTGTTTCATTTCATCTTTTGTATACCGCGGAGTTATTGTTCAATTTTCTTTGTCGTATTATAGATACAGCTGCGATGAGCCACTAGAAGACAGCCACTCGAGAACTATAAAAGGATCTTGAAGCCTGGCTTAGATGATCGATCCATTATTCCAATCTCGTTTTGTGGCCCTAGATATACATTATTCAACTCGACTATAACACACTTACAATACTCATTGACTCACGCTAAACATGATTTTCTCACTGACTTTGTATTTGGCGCTTCTTGTCTGTTGCTCTATTTCGGCAGTTTGCGTTTCTGCAGCAAAGAGTGATGCGACGACGGCATATGGTTCAGACATGGAATGGGAGACCCCAGAATACTATGTGATGAAAGGATCCAATGCCAATAGGCTTCCAGACCTTTCTATACTCGCAGATGAGAAAAGGCAAAAAGATGTCTCTATGAAATGGGCAAACCAGCTAGAGAAAAACAGAAGTAGCCGAGAAGCACAGTGGAGCGCTGCGCTGCATGAGTTCGAAGCTCTGCATATCGGTACTAGCAAACGGCGTAAATCTCGATTTATGCAGATCCTGGACACTTACAGAGCAAAGATCGGAAATTTTCGAGAGGAGAAAGTTCGGAATTATCGGATCATAGATGATCTCGAAGAAGGGAAAATCATCAGCGTATCAGGAGGCCGATTTACAAAAACAACATCGGTACAATTTCAGCTTGACGGAGGAAAGCTAACAACAGTGAATGCCATGCTCAGCTGCGACCCATACAATGTTATTTGCAAGGATATGCTCTTGAAGCTTCATCCTTCTGTTAGATCGATGCTTGACAATATCATGCGATATCTTGTCGCACCTATGGCAGCTCAATATCGCGATGTTACGGCTTACCCTCTGTCACTCACTATAGACATTCGACTGGAAAATCCTTACGATCGCCAGCGAAATTCGTTAGTCTCTGGACTTATTCCTGCATCTTCTGCCAGCGGCGACCATAGGGTGATAACCATGCAACTCCCATATTTGAACACATTGGCGCGATCTTATTCGAAAGACGCTATCTGGCGGGAGATTATGGGAACAGTGACACACGAGGCTACACACCTGTTCCAATGGTATAATCATAGACTTCGACCTACAAAACAGCCGGCGATCCACTTTGGTTCCCCATTGGGAGTTTGGCCATTTGGTAGGTCAACTAGTCTTAACGATAACAGCTTTCAGGCACCCGCCTCAGCGCCAACAGAATTTCTAGAAGGCATTGCAGACTATGTTGTAGTTCGATCCGGGCTGGAAAAGTTTCACTGGAGACGGCCAACCTCATCAGCGGAGTTGGCTTACAAGTGGCAAGCGGGAACTTACCAGAGAGCCTTCTTTTTTGAATGGTTGGAGATGCGGATCGGAGAAGGCACTGTTGGCAGATTGATGGGCTCTGTCCTAGATTCCGGATATGCGGGAAGCTATCCAGAAGCTGGAACCCCCTGTGGGCTTGAATACGGGACTTGGGAGTCTGTGACTGGTATGAGTGCTGAAGATCTGTGGAAGGAATATGGTCTGTTTGTTGATACCCCTCCGGGACAGCAAACAAATACTCACTGGACATGGGCCCAGGGCTACTTCATTCTTTTAGTTTCCACTGTCTGCTATTTGATTCTCCGCGACGTGAAGTGGGATAACAGCTGGAACTTGAATCAGTGGACTCCTGATTGGGAAAAATGGACTCCAAGCTGGAATGAGTGAACTCTCAACTGTAACTAGTAATTTGGATTGCGAGTATTTCAAGTCATTTATAATTTTCTTGATGTCTTGCCATGTGAACACCATAAAAATATAATTTTCTGCCCACCTGTGCAGGTGCGGTTTTATATTTCGGTATTCAAAAAAAAGTAGTTTCACCTTAGAGGGCCGTAGACAATCTAATAGTACTATTAGTACTATGATAGAATCCACCATTTTGTAATATTCGTCATAACCGTCGCGAATAGAGCTTAAGGAGCAGTAAAATACTAGTAGAAGCGATGTTTCTGATCATGACAACGCTTTCTGGAGTTCAGCATTCCTGTCTGAAGGTCCGAGCCCCGGAATTTTGGGGGCCACAAAGCTGTAAAGTGGGGGCCGAGAGTGAGGGGTTAGTCACTGCTGGTGACTGAAAGAAAATCATGGAAATCAAATAGAGCAAGGATTTGATTGAAAAGCAAAATGAGGTATTGAAAGGTCGAGACTGAGTGGGGGTAACTAATCTAGTTTGAGTGGTACTATCAATGTCTTGGCAATATCAGAATGACGATGAAGCCGGCAGGGTGCATAGATTTAGATGAATTCTGTATACTGTAATGCTTGAGAGTAAGTTTGAAATATCCGAGTCATCCGTCAGAGTCTATTTTGCAAGAGAGCCTATCACGCAATGCCAGTTGGTCACACATACCTATACTCGTAGAATCCTATCTAGGCAAGTAGTGCGGAGAAATACTCGTCATCAGGAGCATTCGCTCTGGTTTAAAGCGCTACCGCCGGCCAGCTCTCGCTGCGTCACGAAATCTACCTAAGTCGCCAAGAATAATCATGGAGATTGCCGATACCACCAAGCTTGAATTCGAGGGCGTTGGCCTCAAGCATAGAGGAAATGGGATTTGGTTCAAGTACCTGTTTCTCGGCGACGAAAATGATCCTGCGAACAATTACCTCTTTGTTCTCGCTCGTCAACAAAGCTTCTATTCACCCGTGCATCGCCACAACTTTGATCAGTTTCGCTATCCTACACTGGGAAACATTAATATACTCCCAGAAGTTGACGTTCGTCAAGGCGAGCTTTGCTACCACCCCGAGGGTGTCCACTACGGCCCACAGGATGACGGCGACGAGCTCAAAGAGGTCCTGGTCCTCCAGTTTGGCGGCGCAAGTGGCCAGGGCTTTGTGAGCCATGCAAAACTGGCAGAGAGTCAACAAAGGCTTGCCAGCCAGGGTCGATTTGAGCGTGGCAAATTCATTCGCCAAGCACAGAACATCGATGGAACTGATAATGATGAGTCGGAGCCCATCGATGCTTTCCAGGCGCTATGGGAGGACCAAACGGGCCAATCGCTCGTATACCCAGAGGGTCGCTATGACCGTATCATCAAGATGCAGCCAAATGCATATGCGTGGACCAAGATGAACGGACACAACGGAGTCTGGAAGAAGACGCTCGGGGTTTTCTCGGAGCGTGAGACAAGAGCGGAAGTGATCAAGATCGAGAAAGCCTGTTGGAAAATACCGGCTGAGGATGCTACACACCTGTTTTATTTGCTGAAGGGTGAGGGGCTTGCTGAAGGTGAGAAAATCAAAGCCGAATGGGCTGGTCGAATCCAAGCAGGCAAGGCTGCAGAGGTTAGCACGGATACCGAGCTACAGATACTTCACTTCAAGTTACCCATACTAGCGCCAGAGGATAGCTAGGAGGGTTTCGATGCAACAAAGCTCTCTATATTATTAGTCGGCTATTCAACAGCCTGGGAGAATTAGAGTGGGTTGAAAGCAGGCGAAGGGGTATCAATTTGTATTTTAACTGCTTAGTGGAAAAATTGACTGGCAAAGTGCATCCTAATCTAAAGTCCATTTCCCTAGCCCTGCCATCTGAAACGCCCTTCCTTTAACGTTTTCACCACTCCCAGCGGCATAAACTCCCGATTAACAGCCGCCAGACTTCCGTAGGTGTGCACCATTTCGTCATGGTAGAGCTCTGCGACCCAGCGCCAGTAAGGTGTCATTGAGCTCCATGCCGGACCGATAGTCCCTTTGCTTGCTCTGCCCGTGGGGCTTTTGAGACCAATCATGTTTTTCCTCAAGTCACTAGTGTTGGCAACACTCTTTTCCTCCGGAACTTTGATCAAGTCGCAATAGGCAGAATGAAACGCCGGACTGAAGGTCTCTGGATACTGGTTATGCTCTTCCAGTGAAGGAAACGAAAGAGGTTGGTCAATTGAAGCCCGAAGTGTTGTTTGGGAATTCGACCCCTCTTTCTCGAACTTTTCCCTGGCCTCGTAATAACGAAGCTCATTCGCCAAAATCGCCTTCTGGAGTCTTCTGTGCGGTGTTTGTTTGATGTTTTCACGCATGGAGAGAAGGTTGACAAATGGATTCAGTAGTTCGAGGCCGCCCAACTCAACAGGGTAGTAGAAGAATCCTTCAGGAAGGTCATGGATATTGAACCTTTTTGCGATAAGTCCTCTCAGATAGTTGGTGACTCCAGCATTTTGTTCAGCATTTCCATGGGAAGAATTCCCAAAAAAGGGCAGACTCAATGCGGCTGAGCGTTGAAATCGCCATGTCAATGTGATCTCGGCCAAAACACAAGGCAGGCTTCGCAAAGTTGTTGGCGAAGAAGCGCCCAAAATATCCATTCCAAGCCTGAACCCATTCGAATATGCTCTTGCAAGACGAAAGCTGACGATCTAGCTCCTCGACATGTTGGTCCACCTGGTTTTGATCGATGATGAACTTACCCTGCTCGGCATCGAGAACCAAGAAGCCCCAACGAATCTCACCGGCGGGGAGAATTTGACTTTTCTGGGCTTCGCCCATCTGAACTGTGCCGGTTTTTTCTTCGTTGAATTCCAGCCCCATCAAGTTGGCAAACTTGGTCATAGATTCCCAGGCTTGCTCACAGTCCTTCCCTGTTCCCCAGAACCAAAAATCATCATGCAGTCGATACAGAATATTTCCGTTTGTACCCTGATTCACTGCATAATCCATACAGAAAAGTACTGATTCCCCAAAGCAGTCTGAAAGAGTGTGACTCATAGGAATTCCACGCTTGCGGATTTGCACTTGAGCAGCAGGGCCGTCTTGCACAAATCGCAGTGGAGCCTCGAGGAACACTTTGAAAAAGTTCAGCCACTTTCGAGAAACACCAAAGTACTCCAGGACAGTTATAACGGTTGTATGGGGCAAAGACGGACCAAACCACTTGTAGTCGGATCGAATCGCAGTGAACTCGCCTCTCAAATTCTTTTGAATGAGGGATTCGGTAATCAATCGGTGGAGGAGAGAGTGCTTTGTGTTCAAGGCGCTTTTGACTTGGGAACTGTCGTCATAGTTTCGAGCGCCCTCGTCGATGGATTCAGGTAGTTGACTCATAAAGTATTCTTCGTTGTATGTAGTCTTTCGTAAATCATTTATGTTCCTGCTTTCAGGTCGGGAAACCTTTCCATAAAAGTAATTGCGTCGTTCAATGTACTCCTCGGGAATCTTCTCATGAATGGGGGTCCAGGCACGTGAGCGTAGGAATGATGTGAACACTTCACGCAGCTTGACGGCCCACTTCGTGCCAAGATATTGAAGCATGAGGCTGTCGAGAAGATCTTCATCCATAAAGACGCGGTATTTTCCATTGAGTTGTCGACGCATTTCAATGGGAATTCCATCCTCACTCCAGCTCCAGCTTTCCAAAGACGACAGGCGCATGTTGAGCACATCAGCAACCTCCTGCGTAACTTCTTTATTACGCATAAATTCCTTGAGAACTGATGTCTTTTCCGCGCTGAGAAGGTCGGTCTTCATCAATGCATTTGAAACCCACTCAAGCTCCTTCGCATCCAGCCACTCGCCTTCTGTGGCCAGATCATTTCCAAACTTTTGCATGCTCTCGCGAAGTTCCTTGAACGCTTGTTTGGTCAATTTGTCTTTGTGGAATAGACCGTCAAGATAGGAGCGAATATCCTTTGCTTCAACGTGGTTACCGGTAGAAAATACCAGTGACTCCCACTGCGATCGCTGGTCGTGCATTTCCGCCCGGCCCACCCTTTCAAAACCGGTTTCAGATTTGCCGGATTCCGATCCACCATCCTTATTGATATCAGATACGTTCTGTGCATCTAGCTGGGCTAACCACTCCGTAACCAGCTTGCTGTAGAAGGAGGCATGGTCGTGCTTGAGTTCGAGGTAGCGAAGCTCATTTTCCAGTTGATCGATCCATCTCTGTAGGGTCTTCTCCGAGATAGAGGAATCGTATCGACCCTGTAAAAGAAAACGGCGGATATTGGAGTGGTCTCCGTTGCGGAGCTGACCCATGTCGAGGTTAGGCATTTCACTCTCTGAATCATCGTCGGAAGATTCCATATCCAGGTCCATGTCGTCTTTGTCGAGTGCATTTTTTGGATATCCTTTCAGACTTGAGACACCATTAAGAAGAATTTGGGCGCGAGTGTGCAGATCGGTGGCTGCTTCTGCATCTTTGCGTATCTCAGCCTTGGCCTTGTCGAAAAGAGTGCGTTGCTTGCCAAGCTCATTGATCTTTGTGGCTGTGATAGACTTGAGGGTTTGCGGAAGTGCTCCGGTGGAAGCCATGTTGGCGGGCTGGTGAGTAGTGGTGGCTATAACAATCCCGATATGAAGTTTAAGGAGATATTCAGGACGGCGATGAAGGTAAAAAGAAGGTGGAGATGAATGGCTGGATGTGAAAAGGGAAGGTTGAAGGGCGGCGAAAAGATTGTTTAAGTACCGCTAGGCATCGGCAGCTAGTAAGAAGCGAGCCTCGTTGGGGTTGAGTGAAATATGATGCGGTGAGTAGGCGGGCACTCGAATTGGCAAGCGGGCAGGTGTTTTGATAAAGGGAAGTGAAGCCGCAACGCGTTGGCATTGGCGATGGAGGAACCCACTGCATCGGAAACCCAATCGGGTCAAGTGCCCCCCACTTTTATAGATCAACCAGCATCACACTTCACACTTCACACTGGTTTGCAATCAGTTCACTACTGGCAGGGGCAAGTTGGTGGCACGCTACGATAATGTGAGATAACTCTTCCCTTTCTTAAAATAATACGGAGAGAAATACATTTCAATGCATAACTAATTCAAGGGCATACAGCGAAAGTTTATTCAATCTCCAAGGCTCCCTCAGTCATCTCCTATTATACATCCTCCTAGCCCCACTGGCACAGAACCTTAGGAACAATCATCATAGCATTCGCAACGCCATAGCAGGTTGATTGACTTTGATCACCATATTCTGTGCACTGGACATCCTCCGAAAAGTCAGGGCAGCTCAGAGTACCAGCTGTTTCATCCGAGTCGGACGAATAAGAGCAATCACTCTTATCGTCTACATCGAAGTCGAAGTCATTGTCACCGTCGGGATAAGGGACGTTCTTCAAAGATATATCACCACTAGCGCTCCACTGGCCAGTACTTCCATCACACCAGTCAGGACTATCGTCAAAGATGTCGGGCGTATATACACTCCAGCTGTTGGACCAGCCATTAACAACATAAGCGACAACTAGCTCAGCGGTTGGAAGTGGTGCTGCTGTGGTTGTGGGTATGGGATCTTCCGTCGTAGTGGTCGGTGCCTCTGTTGTGGTTGTGGGGGCCTCCGTCGTAGTGGTAGCTTCTGCTGTTGTTGTGGTCTCATCGGCGGTGGTTGTTTGCTCCTCAGTTGTAGTTGTTTCCGGACTCGGTGTGGGCGTTGAACTAGGCTTTGGGGCCGAAGAGGGAGTCGTGCTAGTTTGTGCCGAAGAATGGGAAGCGCTCGGTGTCGAAGTCAAACTGTTGGAAGCGGGCTTACTACTGGAGGCAGAAGTCCCTGGAGTACCTGAAGAGGTTGAACCTGATTCGAGTGCTGATGATAGTGGAACTTGTCCCCGGCAGTTGCATCGGCCGGGCAATCGCGCTTTTGATTACCAGACTGTGCAACCCTTTGGTCATCATACGCAATCCAGTATCTCTGATGGACGTAGCGAGGCTTGTCTTCCACCCAAACTCGCACCATGGCTTGTTGAATAGAGCAGCTATCGGTGGCTTGGCGAGCTTGAACAGGGTCATACTGGAAAAGTACCTTTCCCAAAGGCGTGAAGGTATTATCGGCTCCTCCGCCTCCGGCGCGACTGTAAGTGATAGGAATTGGAGGCGTCGAGACTCCCAAAATATTTTTCACCTTTTCCACGATTTGGTCCACCTTTTTATCATATGCCTTGTCATAATCCGGTCGGCCCGAACTACCAGGTCTGATAACATATGCTGCAGGTCTGTACTGACTAGCAAAAGCCCCGTTAGATCCTGCGTACTGTCGCAAACCGGAGATTCCAGATCCGCCATCGCCACTTTCAAGAGGAGTGAGGACTTCTTGTTCAAATCTCTCCTGTGTTCCAATTCCCCAGTTGCCCTGGCTAAACCCAGGAACTTCCCAGAAATGCGACATGTATACGGCCTTCTCGGATACAACCACCACCGAGGTGCAACCATACAATCCTTGAACAGCCATGTCATACTTCTCCTTCTTGAGCTCATGATACAGAGCTGTGGGGTTTGACCTTCCACCAGTTCCAAGCGGCACCCACTCAGCCCAAACATACTGATCGACCAAGAATGCACCTGTGTCGCCGTTATAAGGAGCATCTTGTGGGGATGTGAGAGTACGCTTGGTAAGATCCAGATCCCTCTTTGCCGCTGAACTAGCAGTCGGAGTCGAAAGAGACATGCAAGACGAGCACCCTGTTCCGCACTGCCCACCAACACTGGAGCTTGGTGTTGTTGTTGTGGTACTCCAGCTAGTCGAGGTAGATCCAGTGGTGCTGCACGCGGTTTCTGTTGAACAGGTGGTGCTGCAGCTCGCCGTTACAGGAGCACGACCAGCCAGTTGGGATTTTGGAATAGCTGTGGTTGGGCAAACAACATCGCAATTGGTAATCGTTTCAGTTTCCGAGCAAGAAATCGTTGTAGTCGTTGTAGAGGCAGAGATATCACAGCCAGTCACTGTCTTTGTCGACGTCGAGCAAGATGCTGCTGCTTGTCTCTTACGACCAGGGGCTGAGGTGGCAGAACATTCCACGTAGATATCTTCGGTGGTGGTGGAGGAGCAGGAGGTCGAAGTAGTAGAATCATCTGACGATGAATGATCCTCGTCATTGGAGTTCTCAGTCAGGTCGGTGATGCTAGAAACCGTGCTCTCCAAGCCTTCGATGTCGGAAAAGTCATCGTCGATACCTCCTTCAATTTCAGACTTCACTTTGCTCAATTCATCATCGATACAGGTAACAGCGTTGATCAAGTCTGAGAGAAGGTTTCCACCGCCACTACATGAGCCTGTTGATCCGTCTGAGTTCGGGTTGATCTTGTTAAGGAGATTCTATCAAGTCGATTAGCCAGGGGAACTCCTGCGAAATTTCTAAATGGTTGCCTTACCTTAGACTCAGGCTCTACCTTATTGAGCTTCTCGATGGCATCTTCTGCCTTGTTTTTGTCTGGCGTGTCTATCAATTTTGAGAAAATCGGGATAAGTGTGACCGAGATCTCATTCTGTAAAGAACTGACACTTGAAGTAGCTTGTGGGTCATCAGTGTTTAGAGTTATAGGAAATGGAACCGTTGAAGATGTAGTAATAGCACTGGTTACGGTAGTGCTCAGCTTAGTGATCACAGTTTTTGAGGTAACAGGAACCACTGTATTCCCAGCTGAAGAAGGAGGAATATTGCTGCTTGAAGGCTTTGGATGACCAGGTGTTGAAGGTGAGCCTCCGGATGGCGAGCTGGTATCCTTGGTCCCTGGGTTGGAGCTCGGGTTGGAGCTCGGGTTGGAGCTCGGGTTGAAGCTTGGATTGGAGCTCGGGTTGGAGCTCGGGTTGGAGCTTGGATTTGAGCTCGGGTTGGAGCTTGGATTGGAGCTTGGGTTGGAGCCCGACTCGTGAGCCGTGCCACTGGTTGTCCCCTGGGTAGGAATCAAAGGACGGCTTGACGAGGTAGTAGACAAGCTCGAAGGGTCGGAGCTAGGCAGGCGAGGACTTGAGGTGGCCACGGAGCTGCTTTTCCGAATTGTGGTCGGCGACGATCCAGGAATGGTCACTGTACTCGATGGAGGATTCTCAGACGACAGTGTAACGGATGGAACTGGGGCTGAGATGGTCGATCTGGATGTGGAAAAACCGTGATGGCTACTGGAATTTCTAGATCCTGACTGCAGACCTCTTATCGCTATCATTCTCTGCACTTCGTCCGATGCAGACGCTCGTGGAATTCCAATCGCAATTATCCATAATGATAGCAGGGCAAGCCATGAGGATTGTCCCGCAAGTTCAAGGCGCATTTTGAATGAAGGGCCTAGTATTGGTTCAATGAAGTTTATAGAAAAGATTGGAAGTATCGAGGGCGTACAGTTTCCAAGGTTCGATTCTGATTCAACATGTTTCTGAGGCGCCTAGGCAGTTTAAATATCTTTATACTAGTACCTTCCATTCATCTGAATAGGAGCTCGGCAACTGCCGTCATAGTATGGAATATCCATGGTAAAAAATGGAAGATCTATATGCTGCTTACGGGCGGTTTCATCCTTCCTTCTTGGAATACTTTTTTAGACCAATCCGATTGTAGGCGAAATCAGTTGAAGTGGAAACGAACAGCCCAATGCATCCCGATTCAGTGAACGATCAACACATTTGCTAATCCTGACTTCCGGCTCCCCCTGCATTGAAACGAGAGATTTTAATTAAAGGCCCCACGAGGGCCGTGACTTTTGACCATAAGCAGAATCAAAAGTGATCCCTCCCAATAGCATTGTATTTTCCGTGGTGCAGAAACTCTGGCCCCCAAACGCCACTGCCCGCAAGTGGGCCCTGCCTAGTATGTTAGTTCACGCCACCCTGACGATCTTTATCGGTGCATACTATGTACAGCTACACTTAGACCCCCGTGGATATCGGCAATAAGATCATGGTCAGTCGATATTCGTTTTAGCCCCATGTGACATCTGGGCAATTTTAATCAGCCTCGTCTGTTTCCAATTGATAAACAGAAGATGCATTTCATACATGTTGTGCACTTATTACCGATCCCGATCCCTGCAATTGATTGATTCTTCGGCTTTCTTCTTTGGTCCTATATATAGCATTGACTCTTCAACTGCCAAGACTCATCTACATCAGCTCTTTTTCCCTCCGATAAGTTTGTTTAGCCACCCCCATCCATTGCTATACATAGCCAGATCATACAACCCCCGCCAAGCCTCGGCGTTCGGCTGAGTTTCTTGTGTAAAACCGTACTTTTGGATCTCACTCTTATCCCAATCCGCCGGTTGCTCAATGTAATCGCCGTCTGAACTCCCTTCCAGTTCGCATTTTCGTAAGGCACCAGCATCTCGTAGAATCTGGATGACTTCCGGGAAACATCTATAAGCTTCAGCCGCACGATCTGGCGGGCCTTGGTTGTCACCATACACAAGATTTCGATCAACTGCATTGGCACGCGATTTGCCGATTTTATATGATGCTAGTGCTTGGATGTGATCACGACGAATTATTTCGGCAGAATGGAGGGCTTGGTCCAATGGTGTCCGTGGTGGCGATTTGGTTGTGTCCAGGATATTGATACTGCTTTTGAGGCCCAGCGAGAGTAAAAGAGCTAGAGTACGGGGCTTTCCGTGACTCGCGGCAGCAAATATAGACTCGCGACTGTTCGTTTCGTTACTAAGGTATCGCTTTTCGAAAACTTGTTGCATGTTGGAGCCAAGGGCATGCAGGAAATGCTGAATGAGATTGTGGCTGAGTTTATCGCTGAGTACTGCGTTGTTGGCAATTGAATAGAAAATATCTCTGCCTCGCCCATTTATAATGGTTGAATTGGCACCTTTTTCAAGTATGAAGCGACCCCGTCGTCCAGGATCAAGGTGAGTCTCCAAGGCTATTGACAATGCAGTGGCCCCACGGCGTGTCACTCTGTCAATGTCTGCTGGTGGGGAATGACCAAGTAGAATGTTGCATGCAGCCTCGAATTCGTCCTCGGAGTGATATGTTGTAGTCAATGTGTGAAGAGGCGTATCCTCTTCATATCGAGTGGGAATATCAATATTAGGCATGGCACGGACTATGCTGTCGAGGGTTGGGATGTATGAGTCGGGGTAATCCAGCCGGGGTCCTGTGACGGCGACCCAACAATGCAAGACTGTATCTCCTCCCGCGAGAATTGATTCTTCCAAGTCGGCCCCCGCTTCTAGCAGTGCATTTATCATTCCCCCATCCCAGACTCCGAGCTCAGCAGCAGCAGCAATCGGTGTCAGGGGAAATCGCCCATTTTCCTTAGCATTTACATTCGCTCCACCCTCAACTAAGATTTTGACTAGCTCAGTGAGCTTCTCAAGATGTTTATTCCAGTTGCCATGGCGGATCCAATAATGCCATTGATGAGGGAGATAACCATGTCGATCAGGAAAGTATTTCGTGATCTGGTGCAACGTATTTCTTCCCATCGAGTCGAGCAGCGTTCCATCCGCACCCCGAGATAACAAATGTCTTGCTAATTCGGGCTCACCAAAGTAAGCGGACAGCGCAAGTGGAGTGGTTGAAGAGTCTAAACGGTGGTATATTGCGTTGATATCTGCTCGAAAGGAAATCAGAGTGTCTGTTGCAGTTCTGTTTCGAAAAAAGCATGCCCAATGAAGCGGTGTTCCGTGGGGCAGTTCGAATGGGCTTATAGGGTGTTAGCTTAGGATTTAATGAACAATACAACACTTACTAATGAAGAATCTGGATCTTCTCTGGATATCCGCCACTGTTGTCCTTGACCACAGGCTCCATCTTTGCGTCAATATCTGCACCCCCTTCAACCATTCGCTTTGTGATATCGTGAATCGCATTATCTGGAATGGTAAAAAGCCAATGTAATGGGGAATTCTTTTGTCGATTTCTGCAGGATGCATCAGCTCCATGATTGAGAAGGATTTCAATCACATCTTTCTGTCCCGCTTGGAATGCTTTGTACAACGGTGTCTCTTCATTCTCATTTTTCACATCCACTCCAACTTCCGCAGTCTCCAGTATAGCCCGCACTGTATCACAAGCTCCGAAAGCAGCAGCGGCGTGTAGTAACGTGTTTCCTCTGCGGTCCACAACGATTCCCCTTTCTCTCATCCAATTCAGCACTTTCTGTCGACTCATGGCTGCTTTCACGTCGGATTTTCCTAAGAATGGATCAGAGCAAAACCCTCCGTTCATCCTAAACCGTTGTTTTGCGTCTTCGATTTTATTTTCTAATCGCCCTTGCTTTGCAAAGTAATAACCTTCGGAAACAGCTTGCAGCATCCACTTGTCTAGCACGTTTTGGCTGAACTCTGACTCCTGCCCATGAGCCTCCATAATCTGTCCATATATAGCCCTAGCAGGTGAGGATCCTGCTTTGGCAGCGTCACCGAGGTAGGTCAGCAGACGATCAAGATACGTAGGCTTTTTCCCGGTGATTGTCTGGGCTATTCCAAGTAGCACATCCCCTGTAAATGGAGGCGCATTTCCTTCTTTGCTAAGAGCGTGTTGCGTTTCAAGCTCTATGCGAATACTCTCATCCAGTCGGTACCAAAAGAGCGGGCCTTTGTTGTAAATTGGGTCAATAACACCTGTAGGAGTATTTGTGGAGGCGCTAGATTGGATTGAAGAAATCCTATCGCCAGTTGTCAGATACTCGTGAGTGAGAAGGAGAGGATAATTTCCATACCAAGATGCATATGCCAGTGTGTCAGTCTTAAGCAATACCTGGTTTGGCAAAGGGCGACTTCTGGGGTCTTCGGCCAAAAGCTTCAAAACAGCTTTGCGAATCTCCATGCGAATAGCGGATGGCATATCCTTGCGGTCATTAAGTAATTTAGAGACTCGATCAGATATCCCATCGGAACTTTTGTTGAAAGTAAGAGGTTGACCATCTGCCGTGAAGACAGATAGTAACACCAATGCAAGGCTATAAGAATCAAACCTAAACATCATGTCGGGTGAGAATTTGCCAAATTTGGAGATATCCTCGGCGATTACTTCAGGAGCCAACCAAGCCGGAGTGCCACGATAATCGCTCAACTCGAACTTGGCATCGGGCGCTTCTAAGTCAACGCACACCCCGAAGTCACTCATCTTGGCCCGAAATGGCACCTTGTCATTCGGACCCGGAAACACAAGCACATTGTCTGGCTTGACGTCCCCATGTACGATGCCGAGATTGTGTAGTGCCTCTAGTCCGTTCACGACATCAAGTGCAAGCTGGTATCTCATGTCCACCCCTCTCTTCTCAGTGACGAGAAAGTCACTCAAGGGCATCAGTGCCTCCTCCATAAATAGGACTGGTACAGCCATATCCGCAAATGGATAGTCGAATCCCCACGCCAGAAGACTTGTGATATTTGGATGTGCACGCATGATGGGATTGCAGAGCGACAGAACTTCAAGGCATAGTGTCCTCAACTGAAGACGATAATCCATAGTCGCTGCAAAGCGCTGGTCGGCTTTATTGGAAAGTGGAACATTGACGCGTTTTATGACCTCTCCTTGGAAGGAAGGGTCTTTGAAAACGGTGAATTGGGCACCGGAGCCAATTTTGGTACCTCGAGTCGAGAGGTTAATCGTTTTCAGGAGACGAGGGCCATGGATCCCAGTTTGGGATAGAATAGCTGTGAATTGGGAGAGGGTGCTGAGGACTGGAGCGGATCCATTGCGGGTGGCTGTGATGGCAGATTCTAACGGGTCGACCCATGATGAATCGGACTCGGAGAGTTCGAGATCGAAAGTCTCGATCTCTTCAAGGACCGTAGGGCTGGACCAGTCTTCGAGGGTGTGTGAGAAGCTCTCTCCATCAAATGACTCGAAAGCATTCTCGTCGATGGAGCTGAGGATATCGTCGTAGGAGGAGATCTCAGCCATGCTGTTGTTCAGTAAGCTTGTCAAAATTCCACGGAGGAATCCGACGAAAAATGAGGTATCTTCGGCTTATCTGCAGAGGTGCGGGGCTATTATGTCGAAAGCTGCTTGACGTGTAATTGGGCTTATTCTACATAGTACCAGGTTAGTGCTTACGGGGGGGCTCAACTCCAGCCCCTCCTTTGTTCCTTTGTTCCTTTGTTCTGCTCAATTATTTCAGTCCCCCCGAAAAATGCTAAATTTATCTCAAGATCAAGATGGACTTCTATGGCACAGCCTCGACAGCTATAACCCAGCTTTACCAAGTCACTGTCTTCATTCAAGGTGTCATCTCAGACTATAAATCCTTCGATGATGATCGGGCCGAAATTCGAAGCAAGTTGAACACCCAACTCGCCACGCTTGTATTCTTCAAAAGAATCTGTTGTCATCCAGACCATGGCTTGATCCTTGCAGGGAAACCGGATGATTTTATCGCGAGCACAGTGAACGATCTGTTGGACCGGATGCGGCTGGCTCTAGCAGCGTATGAGCGTGTCGCTGTCAATTATGGCCTCGGGTATGAGGAATTCACTATCGATTCGGTGAAACCCAAGATTGAAGAATCATTGATCAAGAGATGGAAAAGCAAGGCCGAGGTTATTAAGCACAAGGCAGTTGACTGGTCACTGTTCGACAAGAAAAAGCTGAATGTCATGCTAGAGACGTATACCACATTGTCTGGAAATCTACGCGATCTTATGCAGCACATATCTCAGGAAATGCTAGCTAAATTGCTTGCAGAGCATAGAGAGGGATTGAAGGGTACAGGATTAGAACCAGTTTTGGCCCGACGCAATCTGGCTGAGAATAAGGCACCGGCAGACTATCATGAACTGGCTGGCACCATTACCAAAGAAGGAAAGAAAACGGGGGGCTTTCAGCTTGGAAAATGGTCCGCTCCGGAATTCGAAACGACTCAAGTTGTTGTTGAGTATCATGAGTACGAAAGCCAGCTCAAACGCGACGATCTAGAAAAGGATGAGATCGACGCACTCAAGAAGCCCATTCGCAACTTGGCTTGGATTTTGCAAAATTCCACCTTCACTGGCACAGAGACAGAATCCCTTGATCAGCCCAAAATTTATGCACTTGAATGTCTTGGGTTCATCGATCAGCCCACAGAGGAACAAGCTGTTTTCCTGTATAGGCTACCTGAGTCAGAGGGGGAGGTCGGAGATTCTCTTACGACTCTTCATGCCTTCATTAACGCTGTCGATGCCGACAGCCGATTACTTCAGAAGCCCTCCCTGAATGACAGATTCAACATGGCGTACACGCTCGCCTTGAGCCTTTCCAATGTTCATGCTTCATGTTGGGTCCACAAGAACATCTGGAGCAAAGGAATCCTCCTCTTTCTCGAGACACCATCAGGAGTCAAGGCCAAAGATCTCCACGATCATCGTATCAAGCCCAGGTCTGGAAACAAAATCGTCTCATATCTTAGTGACTGGGGATATGCACGCTCTGACCAGCAAAATACGGATATGCGCTCCGACTTTGAGGTCGAGCCAAATCTCTATCGCCATCCGCGTCGACAGGGTCGACCGGGCAACAATTCACTCGTGTGCATGATATATATGCGCTTGGCGTCGTGCTTCTTGAAATTGGATTATGGGTTACGCTATCCCGCATAATGCAAACGAAGATCCGCGAGGCAGAGAATAGTGGGCGACTGCCGAAGCCAAAAGCCGTGCTGGACGAGCTGGTGGCGAGAGCTGCTCTCTATCTACCAAAGGAAATGGGAATGGGATACACCCAAGCGGTGCTTGCTTGCCTGATGGAGGACTTCCGCGGAACTGATGGGCCTTCGCTGGCGGTAGACTTTCAAGAAAAGGTGATAGATGTACTGAAAGGAGGTGTTAAAATGTGAAGACACAGTAAGAACGAACGGTGTTGGACGAAGCAAGCAGGGCCACACTCGCAAGTTTCTTTAACAAGCACACGTCTACAACCTTGATATTTCGTCACAATTAAGCTATAAATTGATCATGATATATGCCTATACGAATAATGCTTTCCGGGTAATTTATTCTTGATCCAGCGCTGTTGTGTTCTTCGATTTGATTAGCCAATGGACGTTGTGTGTATCATAGTTAGCTATGGAATGGACTCGCTTGAAGGAGCTCCGCGACTAAACATCAGCTTGAAGCAAATTCTAGCAACCTTCTCTTGAGCCTCATCTTTTCCTGATCTCCTCCGAATATTGCGTCCACTGACTTTGTCGCAATGTCAAGCAAGTCGGTACGATCCAGTCCAAAATGCTGGGCAGCAAGAAGATATTCGTTCGAGACAGGACTGCAGAAGAACCCTACATCATCCGTCTGTACCACATGTGTCAGCTTTTGGCCTCCAACAAAAAGAAAGGAAAAGAAAAAGGTCTCAAATATCGAGGGGCAAACGGACACACAACGCAATCGGACAATCAGTATGCCTCCACTCCCCAAAATGATGGTCCAAAAAGTCCCCGTCAATCAGCTTCGCATGCACATTACAAGACATGCACAGCTCCAGCCCAATCCGGCGCCTGATAATCTCCCGTTTGAACTCATCAGGAACATGTATGACGTGCCCAAGCCGATCGGGCTGGAAGGAAAGCAAGGTAGCTAACTCGGCCGGTGTCCCTGATGCGCGTGTCTCGGCAAAGTGCAGGGTGAGTCCGAGCCCATGGTCCTTTGCCCGGGCGAATGCATCCCGATAGAGGGTGACGTCGCCCCGCGTCGGGTTCCCGCAGATGTCGACGCCGACAACCCCGCGCGGTTTGTTGGCGATGGCGAGATCAATTATCTCGCGTGCTTCGCTGGTGGTTGTGTGACCTCGGTCTAAGGCAAGAATGAGGAACACGGACATTTCTTGAGTTCTAGCTTTGAATTTGTCGACGGTGTCCAGTATGGTATTCAGGTAGTCTTCTCTGGTTATGTTGGCTTCTGGGGATGGTCGAGGGATTGTTCGGAGTTCCAGGTAGCAGACTCCATCGTTGAGAAAATCTTCCAGGGCGGAGTTTGTTGCATATGCTAGGCTTTCAAGGTCATTGCATAGCTGGTAGATGAGCTTAGAGAAGACTGAGAAGAAGCTGTACTCGTGTTGTCAGTCATTCGCTGTAGAGATACTGTCGGGGTTGCGGCTCAATATAAACATTGAAGCCTTGGGGTATTCACCTACGTTTGCAGGGTAAAGTCGACTTTGCCCGGGGGCATAAGCACCAAGGGATCTTCCACTGTGAAACTGGGGTCTTCAGTCTTCTTTCGCTGCCATATTTCGTGAAGACATTGGCGACTGATACTGCCACTCAGATGGGCATGCAACTGGACTTGGATCAGCCTAGATACCGCCCTCAAGATCAGTATAGATCGTGCATACCTCGACCTTTGGTAAAGCCTTTGTAAATTCGGGGTCAACTAGAGTAGAGAGAGACATGTTCACAGTTGATGGCATGTACGTGCCCCGCAGTATTCAAGTTGAGGGGAAGTGAAGTAGCCCGGAAGGAACAACAAGTCAACAACACTGCCCAGGTGTTCACCTAGACACCGAACCTGCCATACTACAAGTAACTAGTAGTATCTACTAGTAGTATCTACGAACTCTAGAAGATCACCACATTACTGGTATAAATTTTCTAAAATATAGAAATAAAGCATAGGGTCTTTGCCTCGTATAGACTATTAATTTGGGTCGACCACCGAAGACTCGACTAAACTAAGCTGCTCGGTAGTAGCTTTGGTAGCGAGGAGCAAGCGAATCTGACAGGTAAGACAACCTGTCAGTCTTCCCCCAAGGAACCGTTTCCCCATCCCACCGTTCCGGCGGTATTCTTTACCTGGAAGTTAAGCCGGTTTACCCTTTTCTATCTTCGTATCTTCGTACCCCCTTCGTATTAAGCTTACCGGTGGGATCCGCGCCATTCAAATCTCAATCCAACCCCGGCCAGTTTGTGTGTACGAGTAATGACGTTTCACATTAATTGGACCGCGGGTTCCAGATAGCGATGTGAAAAGTGGAGCGATTGGAGCCACCCTAGGCCAGGAGGGTTTTCTATTTTTTATTCTTTTTTTCTTTTCAGGGTTCTCTTGTGAGTCCTATATATCGTGTGATTGCCTTGTATGGAGTAAATAGATGATTGTTATTTCTCGCTAGAGCTGGCGCAATCTTACAAATTTGCGCGATGGACGATACCTCACCTCCGGCGCGCACAACGGTTCATGCTGGTGTCCCGGAGTGCCGGTTTCGCATGTTTCAGATGCACTCCTTGCCAGCTCCTGGGTATGCTCTTATGCATGCCATCAAGAATGACAGGGGGGGAGGGACCACCGAACACGATGCTAAGAATAGCGATCGGACAATCCTGGCGATTAAATGCCGTGACCCAGCTCATGAGTACCGTAATATACTCAAGACCCTCCACCAGGAAAAGACTGCCGTGAAAGGAACAAAACAAGGTCCACCCCGTTGATCTGATACGTCTCAACCGTCTATGGATCAAGCGAGGGCCGCCAAGACCGCGGGTGAGAGAGCGTTGAGAACGATCTGAGGCTATCCGGCCGTCCCGCGCCGCGTCCTTTCATTTATTTCAATTCCAGTCTGGTGCGAAAACCAATGCGCAAATTAGTTTCGCGTTAAACAAGATCAAAACAAGAAATCTTGCAATAGAAAACAGGTATTTCGGCATTTTTGATCCGGCCGAGCCTCAGCTCGTGAGGGGTTACAATGCGCTGCCAACGCATCTCGTTGTCCGAATGACAGTATCCATTTCTGCAAGTCAGACGTAACGGTGGACGAGGCTGCTTCTTTCGATCGATTTCTGGAAGCCACGTTGTCCACAGCGGGAAGCTGAGTGGGCATGGACCTCTCAAAAGGAGTATCCAGCGAGTTTTCAGCCCCAGATCCACGATGGATCCACATCGTGGACCGTGATAATATTTCCGGCCCCAGCCCTAGCACTCCCATTGGGTGCAGCGTCGGTCCTTTGTATATCGTACATAACCTAAAGACAGATGAACACGAATCTAGTTGCTTCAAGTAGATCAGGTTCGGAATTTCCTCAACGTGCCGCACGCGGCTCAGGGGTTTGAAACATCGCAAATCCCCCACAACCCACTTCTGTTGACGAGCCATTGAATTGGAAACGACAGGGAATCTCTGGCTAGAACATTCGGTTCAGTGCCGACATGTGTCGCTGTTACGACACTCTATATCGAGCTGAAACCAAATTTATAGTCGAAGCAAACAAGATTAAACTCTAGACAATGGTGAGATTGCTGCAGCCACCGTGGCCTAATAGTATGATAGCCCCAGTGGGATCCAATATGATCCTTAAGGATCATACATTACCGAAGCTGAAAGAGCCGCTATGCAGCTCAAGGAAGCGGGGCCCGATGGGTCCAAATATCTCGAGATGATGGACAGCCCTGGTCGGGAATAATAGAGTCCCGATCTCAGCCCCGATATTTGCTCCACGGGCTCCGCTGGAGGTCAACTGTATCGTGTATCAAATGGAGTAATTTGACCACTAAACATATGTAACACATGTGAAAAGGGAGGGTCCGGTATTTGGGAAGATCGTTCAGACAATGTGTTCAAGTTCGTATCGTCTCCGAGATCAGTCATACGATTTGAGTTCTGCAATTTCCCGTAAGCTTGCAGTGTAGTTGAGCTCATATCATATGTGTCGCTTATATTATTATTATTGCAAGAAGGCTGGAGAGCCCTGTCGGATCGCATGACCTTTCGTGAGCGAGTTTCTCGTTTAGCGATTGCCTGATAGAAGCTGCAGGCCGTCAGTATGCGGGTATCTCGAAAGGATCAGGCTGCTGATGCCTATCCTAGGGTACGAGACAAAGTAGATGCCGGTTATATTGACAAGAAGTATGTACATCTTGTTGTCGGTAGGCAGCGGTGAGAGGGACCTCGTAAGAGACATCACATCATCCCACACCGGCAGCGAAGGCGGCATATGCATAAGATGTATAGATGTCGACATTATAAATAGGACTGGAATCTATAGGAAGAGGCGTCGTGATTCCTGCTGGTTACACTATCTTGGTACGAACCATCTGTGTCCTTCCATGTAGCGTAGCACTGACAACCTTGTACATATCTAGACCTTGCAAAAGAGCAAAGAAATGACGAGGGTCTAGGGAGCAAAGGTGATTTGATACCCCCAGTAACCGAAGCGAGTGGTCGCGGTGGGGTTTCAATTCGGACTGAGACTAATTCCAGCCACGCCACGGCATTAGACGGTCAACTGTGACCTCCCTGATCGTGCGGGAGACTGCATTTGCAGAGGAGAAGGGGGCGGGGGCCGAGGATGACAGAATGACCCTCTTGCATGGGATGCCTGAAGAGTGGGGTCACAAAACACGGGAGTTGTTTAAGCATCGAGCATCGAAGACGCATCGAAGCGTCTGTTGAGGGGGCTGAGCCGAAGGTGGCTGCAGGATGAGACATCCTTGGGAGGTTTGTGAGACGTGTGGGTTGTTTTGGAGAGGATTGCATAGCGGCTTCCACTTTCCTGTTGCTGTTGTGCCGCGTTGTGCGCTGTGTTTGCAGTGCATGACGCGATATGTACACCAGACACTCGAGAAACCTCGAGGACTTGGCCGGAAGGAGAACGAAGTAGGCAGTAACACGCACAAGGTATATCAGTGGGGGGGATACAAGGCAACACTCTTTCATTGCGGCTGTCAACCGCATGATGCATTAGGGCTGCTTTTCAGCCCTGGGAGGATATACCCCGCTTAGGAAGGTCACTGACTCAACCCTTGTTTAAAGGCGCAATGGTTCCATTCAGTTGGGTCTCAATCAATTGCAATGGCTGTGCGAATTCCAGGGAGACCAAGGATGGAGTACTCATACTCGTAGATTGGACTATCCGAGCGCTCATTCCGATGAGAGATTAGACTCCATAAATTTAATCTCGCTGGAATGGAGACGATTCAAACCCCCTTCTCTCCTGAAGATCCGACCCTCCACGGAGTACGGAGTAAGTACATTGGGCATCGGATGTGTAATTTTGTCTCCCTGAAGTTCAATCACTAATATCCTTCAAAGCTAGGAGACAGGCCGTTGTACCCCTGAGTTTCAACGGTGAGTGGCTGGCTTGCGATCCCCTGGCTCCTATTAGCTCTCCATTGAAAGCCATTATTGGCTACGGAAACCCGGGGCACTGGGTGAGAGAGTGTCATCAACAGTTTGGTATTACCTGGTTGATCCGATCGATACGGGTGTAATTTATGTACTAGTATGTAATATTGCTTGTACTGGATATTCCGTACACTCCATACTGCTTACTTATTGTTCAATCATCATCTCATCCCTATCTATGGATCCCACCATGCCATAACTCGCGTGCGTCTTCATGATGTCATCTAATTGAGTCGCGCTGTCAGACCCAACGTTGGTGGATTTACAATTCCCTGGGCTGGGAATGGTGGGTGCCTAGGTGCCACTGTGAAGATATCATATTCTGATATACAGAAAAAAATATTATTCTCATCCAGTGGTGGATATATGCCAGCGTACGAAATACTAGTAATACATATCGGGCACTAGGAGGAAATCAGCTGATGAGGCCCCGCAAAATAATAAGAAAAGAGAGAAACAAACAAAGGGTGCCTTTTTTTTGGAGAATTGAAAGAGTAATTCCACCTTTCTTTCAAGTGTTCGCTGTGCCGAGTCTCATAGGGCAGAGAATCAAGAGAAAGCGGGGGAGCTAACTAGGGCCGCTGATCGTAGCAAGGAGCGGCTGCGAGATTGATGAGCGACTTGGTATTTTATTACATACATCCGCAAATCCATCGGGGAGTAGTCTCCGGACACTTTACACCAAGCCTGGTAGTTGGACGACGGAATATGGAGTACAGAGTGTACTGGTTTGACTCTAATTTCATTGTGTCACCAATACTTTTGAGTTTCCGGCCCTGGATCATCCCATTCAATGCCCTAACTAGTTATGGTATTCAAGATGTCCCCGATCATCGATCACTCAATCTCAATCCCGGGGAGAATTCCAGGAGTAACGCTACTGCTTTACATACGTCTGCACGATGGGTAGCTAGCCGTGTTAGGACATGAATACGTAGGCTATTTCCGGACCCCCCCTGGAAGTCCGGAGAAGCAGCTCTACCAGAGCTGTGGTTAATACCATCGGTACGGTACTGACGGTATTGTATCACGCAAGCAGGTAATACAATACACCCATACATAAGTGAACGACCCTGTCAAGTGGTGGATCCCCCGGTTCTCAACAGCGCAACGTTAACTCCCCCCACACTCAAGCCAATGGAAGAACCCAAGAACCTTGGAAGGAATCACCCTCTAAGACATTTTTTCTCACTGCGACCAGCTATGCCTCATTCGGCGATGATATCTTAACTTCCTTTGTTTCGATCCAGTCAACCCCCGGCATCACTGACGCCTTATGTCGGGAAGAGAATATCACGGCGCGAAGGGTCACGGGAACGAGCGCCCGGGGGTTTCATGCGCTGCGCTGGGCACGTCACAGCAGAGTAGAGAGTGTAGAGGTAGATTGAGACCCGCGAGCGGGCATCTCCCATTTGTTTGTGATTTGCGATTCGCGATTTGCGACTCGGAAACTGGGACTTGGGGATTGGGCCCCCTCCAAGATCATCCCTAGGTCCCCTCACCCACCCCTCTTTTCCCGCGATCAACAGGATAGTCGCCGACCGTCAACCGAGTCGGCCGCTTACTTTAGGGAGGAGGAGTGTTTACTGGCCCCCGTGGCGATGCAGATAGGTTGATAGGGCCATACTACCAAAAGGGAGAGGGGCGGTCTACAAAATGTTTGGACCCTCACGGCCCGCTGAGCACGCGAGATTACCGTTTGCCTTGCTGTCACTGTCATTGGCACTGGCACTGGCAATGCCATCAGAGTGGCTCAGGACCCCCCTTAGCCACGGCTCGTGAGTGGAGAGCTGTAAATGGCATGACGAGATGCTCGTCGCCCTACGTACCCTGCGAGTGGGCCCCACGCTTGTGATATGTGATTCTTCGCTGATAGCGTGGCGCTTTTCGGTGCATACGTCCCAACGTCTAATGATAGGTAATATCTTCACATTATCAAGACAAACCGCCACAACCGCTCTACACGATAGCGCACGGATCGACGGAAAGCCAACCCCAAAAATTAGGGTCAGGGTCAGCAAGGTCTTTTTTGAATCTAGTGCAACAATCGTGACTCATTGGGAGGAGGGGAGCAGTACTACGGAGTAAGTAACTAGTTGAGCGCAAAAAGACAATATACAACGCTAGGCAGTCGGATTCTCGCCGTGCCAGGATGCCAATGCCAGCATCCCTAATGGGTCAACAGGCGATAGCGACAAGCTTGAGCCTAGCGAGTGTCTGTTAATCTGTAAGCGCTTTGTTCGATGGGCCAGCGCAACCAGTCGTCGTCGTCTTTCTCGGTGGTCAGTCTCACTCTCACGGGCCTGTAGACCTGCAGACCTGCAGGCCTGCAGCATGGTGAGGGGTCATCAATCCTCGCCAGCGCGAGCCCGAGCCCGGGTGCGACGGATGGCCCTAAACGACAAGTCGAAACTTTTGAAATCAAGGAAAAGCTGAGAAGCACAAGCACGACGACGCCAACGCATCAGGTAACGCGGGGTGAGAAGAAACCCCGCACAGTTCTGATCGCATTTCGACTCTGCAGCTGGCGGCTTGTCGCATTTCGGGATCGCGCCTTGTCTGTATCACAGACACGAAATGCATGCAAGCCCGCAGGTACGCATTTCAGGTCGCCGGGGTGGATCGAGTAATTTTTTTTTTCGGGAGTCGTCAGAAGAAATCAAAAAACGAAAACCCACTTGGTTGGTTTTGCGGGATTTGACCAAAAACGAAACAACAAATATACAAACTCTCATTGTTTTGGTGATCAACATCTTTCCCTTTCCCTTCCCCCGAATACCGACCGCTCATATGGTATTCGGTTCCATCAAGTGAATGTGATATTGAGTTGGAACGGGAACGCGAACGCGAACGCGGTGAGAGAGAGAGAAAGAGAGAAAGAGAGAGACAAGTGAGTGAGGGGCAAACCCTCCAAACCACCAAACCACCAAACCTCCAAACTTTCTCTCAAAACTCCACCGAGGGTTCGTCAGAGGAGAGACTAGTAGGACGGTAGGGGAGAGTCCAAACCTCAAACTCTCCCAAACCACCGGCGATCCTGGGGGATCCACCTCTGCACCGCCCTAAACGTTTCACTGCCACGCCCCAGCCTCATCCAACAGCCTCGCTGTTTTCGGTTCCGTAAATGACGGTGTATCGCTATTCTTATCTCACACCTTTCAAATCCTTCCCAATAGTCGCCTTGTCCCGCTCTCAATAACTCCCTTTTTTTTGCGGTGTACATATGGACCTGACGTCGGACCACTTTTAACCCCCCCCCACTACGCGTCTTGGGTCAAATAGGAGGGAATGATGATGTGCATCGTGATCGACCGTCTGTGGCACACACCACACACACAGACACGGATTTCGCTTTTGCACTTTCTCCTCCGTTTCCCGGTTGGGCACAAAGGCACCCGACCATTGAACAAATCTGGGTAAGGACCCTACCAATGCTAATTACTAGAGGACAGGGATGTCAAATGTCGTCAAGGCTCGGTCGACTAAAGTTCATTCGAGTATGGAGGTTGTGTCCGAGAGATCAAAACGCAAGAATCCGAGGGCTCCGCAAATTCTCCCCCAGGGTCGGGGCGACCAGCGTGTCGGTGCTGGCTGAAATACATCAAGGTACATAAGAATGACGGCGATGTGGGCCGCGGTACAGTCTAGGTATGCGACAATACTAGTAGTAGTACCAGTCGACTTTGTCTGACTCTCTTTCTTCTCTCAAAGAGCAATGAAATCCAGTTTATGAGTTTAAATTAAATTGCTTTCCGTTTTCACACGAGACCAACAAAATGGGCACCTATCATTGCTTCATAGGCGTGATACTTCCCGTAAAGAGACCGACTCAAAATATGGTCGGTGTGGGGGAACTGGAGCCCGGCACAGACAGGCATCGAACTATGGAAGTTTGAATGGAATAGACTGCTGAGCGGACTCCACTGGAAATACTCCGTCGCTCGATCCCGATACACCTTCCTAGAGTCAAAGAGGGTTACCCCTGGAGTCCGGATACACCGTCCCCATTCAACACTCCATCATCTCATCTCGTCCCCTAGCCTCATTGGGCTCTGGGATAGGCGTCATTTCTGTTGCCGGGCTTCTCGCATCTGAAACACTGATCGCCCACCCCGTTTGGCTGATGGCATTCCCCGGGAATTATGGGGATCGGCCAATGACATCGGGCTTCAAGATCTGCCCATCGTGGGTGGGCTACAGCCATTCCACATCGTCATCCCATTATTCTACCCAAGCCCGGGATGCTGTACGCTGATAGGCACGTACTGGGCATCGTAGACCGCCCTCCTTTCCCCGTCCCTCGCACCCTGATTCCGATACCCAATACTATACGGGAGGAAACCCATAGGAGAGATTACGGGCATCTGGGGTCGTGATCCAGTCTTGGGCCGTTGCTCTGTGCTGTCGTGGTCTCCACGTCTTATTTTTTATTTTTTATTATTTTTTATTATTTTATTTCATGTTTATTTAATTTGCGGCGTGCCCTTGTCAACTCAACTCCTTTTCGCCCCATTCCGAGAAAGATCCCTTGATGTCGGTGGCTCTGATACACTCTAAGCATCAAGTCAGCAAGCTATACATAGACACGGCATCTTCCACTTTCTCCGTCCTTCAAGTTCGCAACTCATTTTTTTTTTGCATTGAATTTACTTTCGATCGATTCTAGTGGTCATCTCGAGTAATTCGCAATACTCCAAATACTCCGCTTTCTTTACTCCTTGGGTAGAAAGGAGCACCCCACCGTCCCACCTCGATCCTCGAAACGACTAGCATTTACGGAGGACTACGAGTAGACGGGAAAGTTCAAGTTCAAGTTCAAGTTTCTTTGAACATATACTCCCAGTCTCTTTCTACTGCTATACCCTAGGCATACTGGTATACTGGTACAGAGTATCCACGTGCTGCCAAGAGAACTTGAACTCAACCAAACGGTCCGAAATACGGTATTTCCCTGTATGATAGTACCATACTATACATACCGTCCCATTCGTGTATTCTCAATACCGTGTGGAGCCCAAACGTGAGGTATGTACTGTATGGCCCCGTTCCCCCCCCCCGTCCCCGTTTTACCCAGCGATTCCGCTGGGTTGGAATTGAAGCTGGAGTGGGTTGGAATTGATTCATTGATTTAATTATTTTTCATCCCCCCTTTCTTCTTCCCACCAACCCTCCCTCGAAACATCGCCCCCTTTTTAACACCTCGACAGCCCATTCTTCAAATCAATCAGAAGAAGAAAAAGACGACTTCCAAGGATCACGCTGGTCTTATCCTCCCTTCCCTTTCCTTCCTATCTCTCGTCGCATGATCATCACGATTCCCGCTGCAGGAAGCAGTTCCAAAACCCACTCCCATACCGTCCCCTAGTGGCCACCACGTAACCGTGCAGCACCGAACCCATCAGCTCACGGCAACACTCCCCAAATCGCACTAAATTCCTCCAAATCCAACATCAGCGAGTCCTCCAGTTCGGTCCAGTCGCCGATTCTTCGTCTTTCCCCTTTGGACCGCCTGCATCCACTGCGTTGGCAAGTGTCGCAATTCCCACTTCCATCGCATCGCATTCGCCTCCAACTTGCGCCGCAACAAGGAAAAAAAAAGTTCACTGTACCCTTGTATACGGGTACTCCCATCGACCACTGCACCGCTAGTCTCGAATCCTGACCAATCGCGCCGTCGCATCGCTACGCTAGAAGAACACACCCCGGCCCTTCCTCATTTTTTTGAACCTCTGTGGCTCTTGTTACGCTGCCGCCGCCCGGTTTCCGAACACGCGACTGCAACATTTGGGGTCTTTCTCGACCTCCCCCCAGCATTGATACCGCATGCGCAGCGCGCCCAGCTTCTGATTCGCGCCGTCTCCCCACTCATCCGCTACCGACCACAGGGCGCCTGCGCCCATCCTCGTTCGTCCACTCCGGTTGCGCGATCAATTGGCCCATATCGCAACGCCCCTAGTGCGCAGCACCAGCTTTCCCCACGGACCGGTAGATCGACGTACAGAAAGAGGGGTAGCATTGGTATCATTGGGACGACGCTGTTCAGAGTATCAGCTCCATTCCTAAAGAAGAAATTCACACCTGCGGTCCGGAACCTTGCAAGTGGAAGATCATCCCTCCCGCTGGGATTCTCACTGTGACGTCCCCTCGATACGCTGGTTAGCATCGGAGGATACCTTTCGAGGAAGCAAGCATCAGTCATACTGCACGAGGCCACTGTCTGTTGCAATTGTTATCAGGGACCAGGGACCTTTGCTGTTCACCCTTCCTCAACTCTTCTCTAAATCCCTCATTTCTTCCTTTCTCGGCTTTGCTCCGTGAGGCGCTCTCCCACAGGGTTCTCCGCATTGCAGCACAGCTAGGCCAAGATGCAGAGTTCAATAACCCATCATATCTGCTAACGACGTGGCTGAACCCATTATCTTTCTTACTGTGTCGAGCTATTTCGCTTTTGATTATTCTGGCTCGGATCTCCTGCCAAACGGGACCCCTGCAAACCTTGAACGGCTGGCTGTTCTCTTGTGCTGTTACCGATTCGTCATTTAAAGGGTCCAGGTGACTCGGAAATTTGGCACGGTTCACGCAATACTCAAAACTTGCACCTATCGACAGCTGTGCTGTCGGGTCTGATAACAGATTAGCCGTCATGGCCTACACTACCGCAACATCACCTCCGGTCCTGGACGCCGAAACCCAATCCAGCTTAAAACTTTCTACATCTCTCCCCCGATCATCCTCATTACAACATGCTGTCAAATCTTTCCCTTCCAACCCGACACCCCCCTCTGCGCCATCCTTTACCTCCTCCCCTACCTCATTTTCATTTTCGGCTTATGCTAGCCCTGGCACTCCAAATGCCTTGACTCCTGCCGGCACCCCCCTCCAATCCGCCAGCGAGGGGCTTCGTGGTCGAGTCGCTCCTCTTCCCATTCCTGCACCTCTTGAACTCGGCGAGGCTATGATGGCAGTTCCCGAGACCTCTGGGGTCATTGACCCAGCTGCTCCTTCCAAGGCCCCGGGCCTCATGCGACGTATCTCTCGAGGCGCCGCGAATAAGCTTACTAGGAGACGACAATCCGCCTCTCAAAATGATAAGCGAGACCGCAGCTCCGGGCCTGTCATCATGCGCCGACGCAGTGACAGCAAGACAAGCACCCAACCTACCCGAGACAATGCGCTTGAATCCAGCAACGAAGACGAAACCAGTGAAGCTCTAGATGGTCTCGGGGCATGGGCCGGGTCAGAACCATCCAGCCTCCGCAGTGAAAGCCGCATGATGTCAGCTCGCGAAGTCGTTGGTGGATCTGCCGTCGCTGTTGCGCCCAAGGTGGACTCTGCT